TCATCAGTAAATAATACCTGTTGCCATTCAGCTTCTAACCAGTTACGATGCTCTCTGGCAAAATTTAGCCTTGCTCTGCGATGAACTCTAGTTAGAACTGGACCTCGAGCAGCTATTCTAGGCCTCAAATTATGTTCCCTTAGTCGCTGACGAACAGTTTCTGTACAAACTTCTAAACCATTAGTATCCCGAAGCTGGGTTTGAAGGGTCCGAGCTGTTACAAAACGTTGTCTTAAGGCTGACAGTCTTAAAAATCGATCCTGAATCGGAGTAGTTACTCGGTTTCTTCCTTGTCCCGGCCTACGACCATGATTTCCAGTCTCTCTATATCTTTGTATAACTCGTGAAACGGTTGTGTGGGTTACGTCAAATCGTTCACCAATTCTTCGGTAACTCCAACCCTCTTCAAACAATATTAAAACTTGAGCACATTCTTCGCGAGTAAGACTTCGTGGCATATTGTTTAATAATTTTTTTTGCAAAAAATGGCGAATGGACTAAATTCTGACAATACCCATCTGTATTTGACAATTACTGGTTTTTCCATAGCATGCTACTTACTTTAGTGCTTATAATGCTAATGCAAATGAATAAAGTCATGTTAAGTTATAAAATTGAGTTTCTCGTGTAATAGGAAACATAATGGAGTAAATAAAAAATGAAATTGTTAAGAAAAGATAAGGCTAAATTGTGATATCAATGCGAACTTGGTAATGTAACTATTGCGCTCTACAGGGTGTTACAACTTTTATGAAAAAATCACGGTATAATTGCTACACCCTGTATTAATAAAAAAGAGGATTTTATGCAAACACAGTTAGCAAACCGACGATGTGGAAGAGGCAACCTGTCATTTAAAAAAAAAATCGTCCAAAACAGACAAGTGGTTTTGACAAATATTTACTTTAAACTTTTTGTTATTTTTCGATGGTGCGTTAATTTATTGGGGAAGTGTATTATTTTTCTTATAAAATGTTCTTCCAAACTTTTATTTAAATCGCTTCAGAAATATAAATAAAATATTACGGCGGGGGACAGGGCACATATTCCTTAAAAGCAAAACTTTTGAATAGCTCTCCTACAAAAAAAAATTGATTTTAGCTCTTACGATTGTAGTAAATAATGTATCCGAATGCCGAAAAATGCTCGGTTAATGATGTTCAGTTTGTTTCTTTCTTTGTTTCTTTTTCCACTAGATATGAAGACGGAAAAGCAATTAATAATTTTCTTGCGATATTCCAAAATGCGGGATAAGTAACAGGTATATATTTTTGAAGCCAGAATAACTGATATCCGTTTCTAAAATGGACCTTAAGTTCTGGGCTAGTGACATTCGTTTCTTCAACATCACCAACACCATATGGATTGATTATACAGGCCACAAGCCAAAAAAATAAAAAAAAAATTGTCGGTGCCAACAGATTTTTTGTATTAGCTCTTGTTTTTGAGATGCCGGCTAATTAAATTTAGTTTTAATTAAAGGCAAAAATAAATAAATATCTATTTAAAGTTTAAAATAGAAATTTCTTAATCAAAATTAGAATCTAACTACCCAAATACATGCCTTCCTATACCTGGTTAAGCGACATTACTTAATCTTATGCACGTATTACTTTATACTTGGAATTGCCTATGATCCGGTCTTCTTATACCTGCTTAATCCCCACTAATTAATCTCTGAAACGTAGTACCTTCTGTCTACATTTACCCTTCTCGATTTAGTATATTATTGAGTTTTTGCTATCATTTTATGTAAATGTTCGTCTTTTTATAGTGTTAACACTAAAATAATGGCATCCACAAGCAGACGTAACTTTGTATACCATCTAGATGTTATTTGTTCATTATGTGGCGAATATTCTTTGAAAGAAAGTAGAAAACCCATTTCTGACTTTGTGAATAGGTTTTATCTTGCCTATTATGGCATTCATTTGGGAGACCAGGATAAATCTTGAGCTCCACATGTCGTGCGTAAAACATTTGAGACAGTGGACAATCGGAAAGAGGAAATGTCAATAGTTTGGTGTACCAATGGTTTGAAGGGAACTACGAAACCATTTTAATGACTGCTATTTTTGTCTGGTTAATATTAAAGGCATGAACAGGAACAATAAATACAAATGGACATATATCCTGATCTAGATTATGCATGAAGACCTGTACTGTACTCGGAAGAAATACTTATTCCATTCTTCAGTAATCTTCCTGAACTGTTGCACTGCTGCAAGATGGATGGTTGGCATCAAATTTTAAAGAAACCAAAACACGCTTGTGGCGTTATTGTTGGATATGTTTATGGTTAATAATGCGATTTTTCCTATCTTTGTGCTATACAGGCCTATTAAATTAAACGAGAACATGCATATAGATTTTCTTTCATCCTATTTTCATAACTAGGTAAAAATGAAAATTCCTTTTACAACTAATAATAATAGTTTTGATATATGTACTAAAGTATATCGTATCAAGATATAATTTTACATAAATTTACCAGCAATTGTTATCTAAGTTTTATCGGCATTTTTAATCATAGATTGATTTAAAAAAATGTTGATAAATTTAAATAGTTATAGTAGAAACCACCGATAAATGGGCTTCCATAAAACACCCAGATATTTATTAACCATAAACTAATGCGTTATCAGAGACTCATTAAATTTACATATATGTATTTTATTTATTTCTGTTATAACATTATAAGATCAAACGAACTTACCTTAAGGAGGTCCTTTCGCCACACCTCTCGCCTCAAATGTTAAAAAAAAAGTTATTAGATTATGACTAAAATTAATTTTTTTCTAATAGTTGAAGTCCTTATTTATCTAATACTAAACTTTTAACTATACCTTACCTTGCAAATTTTTGAGAATTTTTTTTTAATGTGAGTATTTGTACAGTGCCTCACGAGAAAGTAAGTCCTCAACAACAATTCTCGAATTATACTATTATTTATTGATTAGATGGAGTAGAAAAAAACTAAAAATAAGGTTTTTGAAATATTTAGATTTTGTTTTATACAATAAAATATATATAGTAAACCGTGGAACTTATTGAGAAATTAATATTAAAAAATCAGGATTATAATCGCACCCTGTTATGGCGTGGAATCCAGGAAAGCTTTGACAAACAGATTCTCCAAATTCTGCGTGTATCTTTGTAAAAAACAAAACCTAAATATTTCAAAAACCTTATTTTTAGTTTTTTTCTACTACATCTAATCAATAAATAATAGTAAAATTAATTATAATTCGAAAATTGTTGTTGAAGTCTTACTTTCTCATAAGACACTGTACAAACACACACATGTTTAAAAAAAAATTCTCAAAAATTTGCACGGTAAGGTATAGTTAAAAGTTCACTATTAGATAAATAAGGACATCTACTATTAGAAAAAAATTAATTTTAGTCATAATCTAATATTTTTTATTTAACATTGGTGGCGAAAGGACCTCCTTAAGTGAAGTTCGATTCTTATTATACACTGCGCTCCCCGCGAAGATGATAAGTAAACGTAGTACTCATTTAAGAGCTAGTTTAAGACCATAAGTCCAACGCGAAAACTTATAACCTCACTTTTTATAAAGCTCCACCGCAACTATGATGATCTGAGATTCAGAGGGTTGGGTTGGAAGAGATCATCTTCGAAGGGAGCGCAGTTTATACTCAAGATCGAACTTCACTTAAAGTAAGTTCGTTTGATCTTATAATTATACACTGCGCCCCCTTCTTCAGATGATAAGTAAACGTAGATGTTTAAAGACAGTTACGACTACAAGAAATGAGCCAATTTTCAATAAACTTTTATGAAAATGTTTACAAGTGTAACAAAAACAAACGAAAGTTTAATCCACAATAAACTAAATTCGAATGGTATCTGCAAAAGATGTAGGATCCTGCTTTATAAGCCGGTTATAAAACGGAAAAACAAGAAGATTCACTTGACCAGCCTGCTGTGGACCTTATGTCTAAGTTTTATTACAAATACAAGTTTTATTTGCTGATCTATGCTCTTGGTTCCTTTAATTTTTATTTTGTTAATATTTTATATGTATGTCGCAGGCTTATGGTAAAATCAGTCTTATTATAATACGCCTAGGCTTTTTCAATACGACTAGACAAATTAGAATACTACCCAAATAATTAAGAATCTCACAATTTGACTGATCATTTCAGGCGTATTATAACAAGCCTGACGATGTGCCAGGCGAATCGTGTTTATAATACGACTGACGCATGACGGCGTGCTATGCGAGCTATACCCAATCATTGATTTTAAACACTAGATTATTTAAAATAAAAATACAAATAATAGTTTAGGATTATTTATTACAGCATGGTCCGCTTTTATGACATTTGCTAGTACATTTCATACGAGCTTTGAAACATAAACATTTATTGCTATGGCACTGTGTCTTGCTTGGCTTGCAAGAACACTTTTTAAATCCCTGTCCATCGAATTTTGATAATAACCTTAGAACTTCTATTAAAGTAATTGCTTTTCCTTGTGGAATGTTAATTATTTCATTAGTTTGGCAGTCAGTTATTTTATCCCTCGAAAACCACCGATTTAACAAGCCATTAATATTTTGCACAAATATTAGGTAGGTACAAAAAAATTAACACATTTAATCAACTCAACAACAATGATGATTGCAATTCGCCTGGCACATCGGCAGTCGTATTATAGTACGACGGATTAAATCTAGTCGGATTCTAAAACACATGCGCGTCGGTTCAATTTAACAATAAGACTAACAAGCGGCAGGCTTATTATGATACGCCTGAAATTGTCAGTCAAATTGTGAGATTCTTAATTATTTGAGTAGTATTGTGATATGCCTAGTCGTATTGAAAAAGCCTAGACGTATTATAATACTGATGTTATAATAAGCCTACGACATGTACACAATAATAATTATAGATAAAAGTTGGTGCTACACGAAACTTATAATTACATTTTCTTCATAGTTTATTTTAGAAACGATTTATTTGTATTGCAGGCTGTGGTTTTGGAAGGAAAATATTGGAAACGAAAATTAGCTGCTGTCACAGCTGAATACAAAAGATGGCGGATGTTTTACAGAAACAACATCTTGGGTCACAACAGAGATGCCGCAGATCAAGTAGGTGAAATTTTTGTTATTTTTTACATTTGTAAAAGTTAATTAGAATGTATATTTTCGAATGAACATGCCTAATTATTTGGTGGGTGGAGTTTTTCCGGGTTTTCCTCACCTGTAAGTCAAATGGCACCATCAATCATCTTTAAGTCGCCGAGGAGCGCCACGGCAAATAATAATAATAATAATAATAATAATAGCCCTTCACCTTAGTTTTTTAATGTAAAGTATCATTTAAAAGAAGAATTTACTTACGATCTGTCAAACAATAGCTGCTAGTGAGCAGGGCTCTTAAATCTTAGGGGGTTGCGACATAGTCTTCCATCTTGGACGCTATTTTTACTCGAAATAGTAGTCGCCAAGTCTCTCAATTTATAAAAAATATATAAGTACTTTTTTTAATAATATTGTTACGCAGCACCCTTCGTCATAAGTAAAGGTACGAGTAAATGAAGAAGATAGAATAGTCCAGAAATGTCATTCCACGTCAAGGAAAAGTCTAGACAGTTCGAGAAGGTTAAAGCAAGCTATATATGCAGTGATCCTGACGTCAGTTTTTCAGTTTTATGATAGACGTTATACGTTAATGTTATGTTGCATAGTTGTTGTTAAAGTTGAGTTGCAATAAATTGAGATACCAAAAACCAGTGTAACAATATTTTAATTGTGTTCGACATAAAATATGTCGGCGGCGCCGATGTTTAACTATTGTTTTGTTTATAGTTTTAAGAAGTTTGATTTATTGGTAGTCGGTATTTCAATAAGATAAATTGTAAGCTTCTACTTGGTTTTTGTAAGTGATGACTTAACAAAAATTATACACACTTGTCATTCATAGTGAGGGGCAAGGGGGCGGAATGGAGCCAGCAGGATGTTGATAGAAAATAAGGAAGGAGAACAGATTAGAGACGTGTGATAGATCAGGCGGTGGTACGCTGGCTCCGGATCGCTAGTATCATTTCTTTAATCGATTAATAATTGATATCGTATTTTTATCCGTATTTCTTTAATAATTATTTGTGAAACGTCGTTTAAAGTGTTATCAACATTGTTTATTGTTCTATATTGCATTAACAAGTTTTACAAGTGTTAAATGTATTGTTTTGGCATAACAATGTCTGACGGTGACGCCCTAAATATCCGAAATCCGACAAATATTTAAATTTAATCCCTTATTTATGATTTTACGTATTGTAGATAAAATACATCGTATGTCGCAACCTTCTAAATATACCAACGACAAGTTCTTTTGTTTTGAATGCCCAAATTATTATTAAGCTGTGTAAAGATCGTGCCAACGAATGGCAACGAAAGTGTTTCGCTGGCGCGGCATAGACGGTTGAAGTTTTTGATGAGTAAGACCATCAGATACATTAAGAAGTTTTAGTTTAAATAGGAGGCCGTTGTGCCAGACACAGTTAAAGGCTTTTTTAATGTACAACAGGACATTTTGTTGTATGCACAGTGGAATTGCGCAATTCGTTCGTTTACTAATGCTGATAGTTTGACCTTAATAAGTTTTTCGAATAGTTTTCCTAAAACTGGAAGAAGGGTGATTGGTCTGTAATGATCAATTCTTTTGTGGTCTGTGCCTGGTTTTGGGATAACTATGATGATGTCTTTTTTTCATTGATCTGGAAAGTACGAGTTTTTGTAACACAATACAAACATTTTAGTTTTTTCACAATTTGCCATGGGATCATGTTCGATCCTGGAGCTGAGTTTTTCTGATTGGATAGTATTTGAAAGCATTTGTCCTCCTCGAATTCTGTGTTATCTTCCTTATTGATTGGGTTGTTTCTAAAATATTGTTTGCACCATGAGTTTACATTATTCCAGTTTTCTTGTTCAAAAGATGGGTCTTTCGTTCCGTTATATGTTTTAATGAAGTTCTCCTTGAATGCATCGGCCTTTTCTTCATATGTGGCATAGTCTATACCATGTCTGTGATATTTGGAATTTTATTCCTTGTTTTATATTTTGACAGTTTATTTATTTTATGTTATGATAGAAATGTCTTCCCTGTCGATTGATTTCTTGGCAGGTCTGTAGCCATGTGTGTTGCTGAAATTGTTTTACTAATTTTTGAATGTCTTTGTTAAAGTTGTTGATGTTTGTTTTGACTTCCCGACTAGGGTTTTGCCTGTATTCTCTGAGAATTTTATGTTTTGTTTTGATGAGTTTCACGATGTATCTAGCAAGTTCATAATTAAAATATTTGTTTGCAGTTTTTAGGGTGTTGTTTGTGATAATCTCGGAGATCTTTGTGTGAAAGTTATTGACTTGATTGGTAGTAATATTAGTGTTGTTTGAAATTAGTTGGTTTACTTCTTTATTTATTTTTTCAATGTTTGATTTAATGAAATGATATTTAAGAGGTGGGTCTGCAAAATGAGAGGGCATGCCTTGCTCGATAGTAAACATTATAGAATGGTGGTCTACCCCAATGTCGGGGATTACTTCTATATTCTTGATTGCGTTGCTAAGATTGTCAGTGTACATTAACAAATCTGGGGTGGATTCCTCATTGGGCATCAAAAAAGTAGGGGGAGTATCCGCTTTAATAAAGTTTGTGTTATGCATATAAGTTTGAATCTGCTTTAATTTGCCTGGAAAGGGGTAGTTGAAGTCACCGATTAACACAACATCTTTGAATCTTCCTGCCATTCTGAAGATAGAATCGTCGGTTGAAGCATGTGGGTGGCTGTATATCAAAATAATGTGAAGTTCGTCATCATTGAAAGGGATACTGACGTGTAGAGCATCATTTCGGAGATCGTTTTTGGGGAGTGGGTTTTGTTTTCGCATTTTTAGCTTTGGATTTATTTGCATAAGTGATCCTCCTCTTATATTTGGGTTTAAAGTATTTCCGTCGTGTCTTACTACATCCCAATTTCTATAGTTGGTGTTGGTTTCCGCATTGGTTTTAGCTTCTACAAATAGGGAACAGTATTAACTTCCTTTCACAAAATATTTCTTTTGAAAGTAACTGTTTATATTAGTGTATAATATTTTAATTTCGTTGTAGAATGTGAGCTACTTGCGATCCTGGTATAGTTTCTGTGGGAGATTCGAAGTTGTCTAGTTCCATGTCAAACATCAAGATGTAAATCCATTTGTTTCCCACAAACGTTACAGTGGTATATATTCTGTATTCCGCCATTAATCTTTTTCGTAGTCTTTCTATTAACTCCTCTCTGTTGATGTTTTTGGGTTGGTTCAGCTTTTGTACATACGAATTTATTATTATGTCATTGGGGAGTGGATTCTGTTCATTTTCATATTGTCCTTAATTTGGTCAGATTTTTTATTTAATGTTTTTACTGGTAAGTTGGGAATTCCTGTTATTGGTTTTGTTGGTCTTTTAGGATATTTAAATGACCAAGCTTGAGCCACATCCACTGCATTTTGGGGGTAGCGTGGTTATACACTTGTTCGTGGAATGCGCTTCAGAACGTTTGCTGCATTTTGTTGTTTCTGTGCATTTTTCTGTTGAGTGGGAAAACTTCAAGCATTTATTGCAAGGGCATTGGGGCTAGGGGCGGCGGAGAGCTCGTATAGACAGTATAATGGCGAGATTTGTAATGTAATCCTTCAGAGAGAAGTTTTTCGTAAAATTTTAGATTTTTTGTGATAATTCTTATGAAGTTTGTTGGAGTGTCTGTCTTTTTTGAGATGATTAAATTTTTTAAGATCTTTAGTGCATTTTCTAATATCGTTTTAGCAGCATCACTTTTTAGCAGATAGCCCTTTTTTGTCTTTAATATTATATCACTATTATTTGGTCTTGTTTCTTCCTACAAATTAGCTATTTGGATTCTATTAATAATGGTATTATTGGTGTTAATATAGAACATATTATTAAATTGTTTTTGTTGGAACTCTTTCATGAGTGGTGAGAAATTTATGGATCTCCCTGTATTTTTATTTAATGGAATATTATTATTTTGGTTTTTGGATTTGCTTTGTGTTTTTTATAAGAAACTACGGAATATCCTTCGTTATCTTTAACTGGTTTTTTGGAGGTGTCGCTCGATTCTCTGTTTTTATCTATTAATTAGCCTTTTTTTGGAGATTCCGATAAATTCGTCTAGCGATTCTTCATTCAATTGCTGTAAATTCGTTAGCAACTTCTTATATTTTATTTTCGTTGACGTGAAAATATCTTGATCTACATCCATAAATCCGGAGAATTCTTCCCCATCGCTTGAACTAGACATGTTTTTTTATGGACTTTGGTATTAAACAGTAAACTTATGGCTGCTACTTGTCCCGCACAGAAACCGGTGTTGCTTGTTTGAAGGCAACAAGCGAACTGTTATTTTTTCTATTTTATGTGCAAATCCTCTCTGGACTTTATCAAAAACGTTTTTGATATCAAAATTTTTAAAATTGCGTGAGGCCACTTCAGTTAACACCAAGCAGACAATATCCCGTATTTTTTATCAAAAGATATATTTATTAAAAACATTAATTTCATCTGATTTTGATACTAGAGCTTAGTTGGTACAACCATAAATATATTTGTGACTGTGGTTACAAAAAAGCTGCTTGCACCAATTGATTTTAATCATTTAAAAATTTAATTCCAATTTGAGCACAAGTAGGTTAAAAAACTAGTAAAGTTGTTTTTTAAAATAAAAACATCGTTTTCCATGAAAACATTGGAAAGGCTTTGCAAAAGGTACATAAGGGATGTGGTAATTACAATACCACTGTATGTTGTCTGGATATCGAAAACCCAACAAATGACAGTTATTATCAAACTAGAACAAATTTGAACCCACTTATTCGTATTCTACGCTCACTACTTTAACCATTCAGCCATCAGGACATCCAAATTGTTAATTTGAATATAAGGTATCGGATCCAACCTCGATGACAAAAGGATTCCAATTTTTCAACAAAACTACTAATCAGCATCGTCTAGGGAAAAATGCTATCTATATACATGCTGATGCGGACCCTTCCCTAGATCGTCTGTGTGCATTAAGTTTTCGTTATACGAGGGCTATACAGTGAAAAAGAGGTTTTGAAAGTTCCGAAACTTATTGGTTGTAGATCCGAAAAAAAAAAGATATTAAATTCATTAGAAGTTATTATTATTATTTTGTAAGGCAAGCGACATAGTCGATAAAGTGTTCTTTTAGTTTGTGACAAAAATTATTCTAAATTACTACATGACAGTTAAAACTTAATATACTATGAACTATAATGAATAAAATTATTTCTTTCTGCTTCGAATTCTTTATCCACTTTCGCCTTGAACTGGTTTATATTCTGGACTGAGACTCTATGTTCCTCGATACCATTCCACATATTTACAGTTCTGTTTGTAATTAATTTTTTTTCTTTGCAGTTTAACACATTTTTCTTTATATAATTTCTTCGAGTGACCTCTCAGGGTTCTTGATGTGCTGGCCTGGAAGATGTTATTGTCGTATATGTTCATAATTATAAGTCAACGTGGCAACCGCGCTTTACCTGTGCATCGACGACATGCGGTGTCCTTCAGGTGGTGGTAGTATTAATGTGAGAAATGTAACAAAACATTAAAAAGCAGTCAACAATAAAACCTAATACATACTAGAGACATGGTGCCTTTTATTAAGTATTAAGTATTACATCTACACCCTCAGTAACAAACATAACAGTTATCACATGTTTAATATCCTCTGGTCCACGTATCTATCAAGTCTCCTCTAGTTCTTCTATCCTTTAAACTTGAAAGTTGTAGTTTGGCTAGCCAATCACAATACTCATTGTTTTGTAGGGTTGGTGGTATTTTGGTGACTCCTTTGTAATCTTTCCAGCAGTTCAATATCTTTGACAAAGTATGGGTCCCAAACGGTCTGTGCAAATTCTGTCTTTGGTTTTATGTAAGTTGTGTACAGTTTGAGGATCATATCTTCGGAATGGTCTTTAAAAGCTCTTTTGATAAGGTAAATGAGATTGTTGACTTTCTTCACTATATTAGCCATGTGGGTTTCTCATTTTAAGTCTTTAGATATGATTACACCAAGTTTATTTTGTGTTTTGACTGGAGTTAGCGTTTGAATCTATGTGTAGGGATTATTTGGACCATTGTGTAGTTCTGTATGTACACTTACTTATGTTGTAGGGTAGTAACCATTGCTGGGGCCAGATTCCTATTTTATTCAAGTCTTGTTTCATTTTGCGAGAGCTTTCCAGTGGCTTGCAGTAGATATTTCCGTCGTCTGCATAAAAGTTGGCTTCGGAGGACCCGATGATTTTGCATAAATCGCTAATGGGGACCCAAGACCAATCCTTGTGGTACTCCACTTTGTACTGGATGGTTGTTTGACAGTTGTCCGTTTATTCTTACGCAAAACTACCGGTTGAATAAGACAGTCTTAATCCATAATAATAGGTTTTCTCTTATTCCAATGTGTTCCAATTTGCTAAGCAGCCTTCTATGTGGAACTTTATCAAAAGCTTTCTCATAATCACTGATTAACTGCACTTAGAAGATTTGTTACAACAGATTTTTGGGCGTAAACCATGCCGATTTCTTAGTAAAACTCTGTGTTCCATCATAAACTCGGTTACTTCTTTTGTAATAATATTTTCCATTGCTTTACCGATACAGTTTGTAAGATTAACTAGACGGTAGTTTATGGGATTCTTTTTGTAACCTTTCTTAAATATAGAAGTGACTAGCCTGTTTCTGCATAAAGTCGTTCATAACTCACGAGGAGATTAAGAAGGCTATTGGAACATTGTTTAAGAAAAATGTGTGGGATTTCATTTATTCCAGGACTTGAATCTTGTTTAATGCTATCTATTGCAAATTTCACTTTTTCTGGGGTAAATTCTATATACTATTCTATTCTCAACTCTTTCTGTTGCAGTTATTTGCGGTGATTATGTATCAGGTTCTGTAGTATAGACTGCACTGAACTGTTTTGCAAATCCTTCTGCTATCTCGGCTGGTTCTGTGATTGCTTAATTTATTGTTGGGTTGCTTAGCGTGATTTGAGTGCCTTTTGTGTTCAGTATTCTTTTCACATAGCTGTAAAATTTCTTTTCGCCACTTTTTAAGAGGTTATGTTCATAATCTTCTCTAGATACAACCAATAAGTTTTTAAGTATATTGTTCTGATTTCTATATGCAGCATAATCTTCCTTGGCTCTTGTTGACCTGTACATATGCCATAGGTTGCGTTTTTTATTAATGTCTTTGAAGTAGGTTCGATTGACATAGGGTTTTTATTTATTACTTCTAGTGGAATATTGTCATTTATTACTTTGCGCAGTATGTTTGTTAAAGTTTCGTAAGAACTATTAACATCATTTTGCAAATGTGTGCTATGTTGAGCTGTCCCACTATTGATTAATTTAAAATTCTATTTTTATTTTTAATGTATAATTTACAAAATTACCCCTACGAAATAATGAAAATTATTTTCGATCCCCAAAGTGAAAACAAAATTAGCGAATTTTTTTAAAAAAATTTTAAATGAAAAACAATTTTAGTTTATATGGCAATAGTTTTTTTTTAATATTCTATAATTCGATATATCAATTAACTTATTGTGTATATTATTTAATTTTAGCTGTTAGAAATAGACTTGTTGGGATGGGATTCAGGAAGTTCCGAAAATATCGACAATATTATGATGGTGGACGAGGACTATATGGGACTTATGAGCGATACATTATTTTCTACAATCACTAATCAACCATTTGTGTTCCCGGATTCTAGGGAAATTGGTATGTTTTAAACATCATCTTACCTCAACATTAGTGAAATATCAATTTAAATTATGCAGGGTGGTTCCTAAACAGATTCTTCTTTTTCTATTGTGTATAGAAGTAATTAAAATAAACAACTTTAAAAAAATCATAAAAAAAAATGGAGATTTAGATCAGATGCCCTCAGTATTTACGCAGAATAAAAAATCAGAATCAGTCGGGAAGTGTGGGAATTTTAGACATGACTTTCGGAATAGGGAAATCGGACGAAATGGACCATTTAAGTGGCTATCGAGGTCAACAGACATAAATCTTTTTTAAAAGTTGTTTATTTTAATGACATATGTATACTTAAAATAGTTTACGAATCACCCTGTATATTGGACCTTAGTTCAGATTATGTTCGCCTCTATTTTGATAGATCCTAAAGCAGTTCCCTAGGTAGCACACTTTGGTATAAATCACGTATTTTTTTAGCTATTACCATACATATGAATACGGTTGATATACTACCAAATATATTCGTGAAAATGTCCGCCTTATAAACATATATTATTTGTCATATATAAACGTCGATTAATAAGAATTTATCCATCTATAATTAAACGTTTTTACTATACGTCTATATTAGATTTATAGCTGTAGTATATTTATACGTAAAGGACGCCTAGACAGGGTTATTTTAGACATTTTATTAAATAAAAAAAACAACTGACCAAAAAAAGAAAATAAGTAGCTTGAAAAATACGTATAAAAATAAGAGAAACAAAAGTAAGGTTATGTTTTTGAGTTTCTATAATCATTTTACCTAGCTATAAAACAGTAATTGTTGTAAAATGCAATAATTATTAAAGGAGTAGCTAAATTAAAACCTTCATAGAAACTTACCTATGCTTTTAATCAATATCGTAAAAGCCAGAACGCCAAAGCAACATGCAATGCAACAAAACGTGTACACAAATGAAAATGGACGAACCTGCTGCCACAAACCATTCCCTACACTGAACACTAATACTATACATACGCATGAGTAGAAATGAGAAAAGACCGTACCACTAGTACGTCATCCATCTATCTGAAAATAGTTCCGTATGCATGGGGAATTTGTTATAAATATTACAGGTAATATAATTAAAAAAATATGGATATAATGTGAATAAATATATCTATAAGCTTTTAATTTAAATAAACCTAAATATAAACATATTATTTACTTATGTCTACTAGTTCATCGTAAACTGGTAATATGCGTTTAATGTGACTTTTAATTAAAAGTAGAACAATATAGGTATATTAACTAGTATCGACAAACAAAAGCGTTTAATTTATCTGTTATAAAACGTTAAGTATAAAAATGGTAGATGGTAAACGTTTAAAAAATCAACCAAAACGAAATTTAAACGGGAATTATAAACGAAGAACACATATTGTAATATTATGTAAATTTATACGAATTTAATTTAAATACACCTAAACGTATATTTAGGCCCACTGTATATAAATAGTTCATCGCAAACTGAAAATAGTCGTATATTGTTAACTATATTTAAACGTGAAAAAATTTACAATTATATACCATAGGATGTATATAAAAAACGTATAATATATCGTTTAAAACACGGTATGTAAAATAATAGTAAACTGTAAACGTATACGGAACCAACCAATACCAAAATTAAACGAGTATTACGTATAAAAAACGTAAGTTATACTAATGTGTGCTGCCTGGGTTATCATTAAATGGATGAAATATTTTCATTGGGCATAGCCTTCCATTGTCAGGTAGAAATAATATGCCAATGGCGCTGTTTCTGCCATGTTTAGGTACTTGAATCATGGCTAAGTCGTTCCGTTCTATGAAATTGGAAATCGCTTTGAGTGGTGTTTATTTGGAGACGAAGGTCGTAGGTAATAATCCTATTTTTTATTACGTGATATAAAAAAAAAGCGTTTTTATAATACATACAAAAAGGTAGGAATATATCTAAAAAGTTAAAAAATCGTATATACTTATTTTTTATATCTAAAAATGTACAAATATAATAGTTACCTAAAAATGCCCGACCATACATCGAGTTTCTCAGGACTTTGGGTGCGATGCACAATTCTTCTATGCTGGAACTAGTAACGAATTTCTTTATCTCTTATGACTCGTCTTTTCATAAACTTCTCTTCACTATAAGCATTTTCCATTGCAGTTTTCCAAAACTCCATTCTTTGAAATTGTTTCCAGAAAATTTTTTTTTACCTTTTGGATCATACAAGGCAGTCATATAAAAACTTAACAAAGCAATTATTAAGAACTGCGTCAACATTTTAGATAAACGTTTAACAAAGTTTTTAAATTTTTTTTGCATTTTTTTTATATTTGGTTTTGTGAATGGAGAACCTTTCAAGAATATTGCGTGAAAATTTGAGATGAATCGGAGCAAGACTACCGAATATACAGCGGTTTGAGTAACCGCGCCTCATACATGACTCAACGCATCAGAAAACACCTGCCCGGCCCGAGCGCGCTATTGTTACCTGGCAGCGAGGGGGCTATGGGAGCCATGCCCCCCCCTTCCGAGAGATGAAAATTCTTACGATTTATGAGCCCCCCGGAAATTCGTCTCGGAACCGCCCTTGCCTGGCAGCTGTTTCTTCGCTTTCTATATCATCCCTAACCTTACCTGCTACCTTTCTTTATAGAAATGTCAACACAAGTACAAACGTGTTTATACCTGTACTGTATATAATTTAGTGTAGCATTGGCCTGGCATGTTCTTTTGCTTTACTAACCTCCATGCAAGACATGAGAATCAGTAGTGGATCAAGAGCTCATGAATGAGGATTCGTCGTAGACAGGAGAAAAAAGATGCTTTAGACATCATGAATGATAGCAACATTATTTATGGACCTGGCATCGATAATTCAGTGTGAGATAAGCCGATAAAACTCGCTTATGAACATTTTATTCCAAATTTTTTAGTGTTCAAAACTTTAAAGCCTTTTTCCCACAACTCACGTTTCCAAAGTCTGTGCCCCTCATAACTTCAAAACAACTGCACCTATCCTTTTGAAATTTTGAACACTATTTCGGTACATAATTTACGAGGTAACGCTGGAGAGTTTTTTTCAAATTTGTTAATATTTTTTTATTTTATAATACCATATTATTCTATTTTTTCGCAAGAATCAATTTTTTTACTTCAAAGTGTTTCCAAAACGTGAAAAACCCTCCCAGCGTTACCTGGCGAAAACGATTATATAATGAAAGAACTTTGATTTTTTTATTTCTGATGATCCAGCACTGAGTTAGGAGGGGCACCGCAATTCTACTTTTTTCCGAGACGCTTCCGAATAATTGCTGCTATTTCCGTATTTTTTAATATTTCTACATGAAAATTTGACACAATATTCTTTGAATGTTATACTTTATTGTACCATTAGTTTAAATAAACAGATTTGAACTGTGTGGTCAAAAAAAATTAACAAAGATGTGCCTTTTTTTGCATAGACTTGTCATACAGCCAGTCACAAAATGGAAGAGGTAAATAATTAAATATTTAATTTCGCCTAGGGACCCATCAAGGCTTTACAAAAAAACAGACATTCACTAGGTCACGGTAAAGGGGTAAAATAAAACAATAGGAAAGAAAACAAAGGTAACGAGTCTAAGACAATTAGCTAATTTACAGAAGACGCATTTAAACGTTTGGTGGAGGAGGAGGAGAGATGCGCCCCTTTGTCACATCATGGATATCCACTTTATTCATATTTGACATTTTTCGACTTACGTCCCTTTGCCTTTCCAGCGACGAATTATTGATAGAGAAATACGGTTTTACCGGTTTGTCTATCAAAATATGGCCGCAAGTACTTCTAATAGTACTTTATAGAGGATAATTTTTCCACTTTAAGGTATATTTCTGTTATTTATGATTATAGAAAAAAATTCTTTTAACAAGAGTGGTTTGTGATGTTATTCTCTGTAATTTTTGACATATACATGATTTCTTTAAAATGGACCGTAATGGTAAAATTTGAGAAAATATGCAAAATTTTCATTGGCAATTCATATTCCAAACATTTTTTTATTCAAATTATTCAACTTTTTGATTAGATGGGCCGTACTGAATATATTTGATAACTTTACAGGAAAGTAAAGTCTTCGGCAACCTCACTCTATTGTAGAGATACAAATTAGCGTTAATTTGATATACAGGGTGTTTCAAAAAGGTATCTCATAAATTCATCCTCAGATAGATTACCAAATAATGAGTGGATTTGGCTATATTTACCTATATCAAAAACTGGCTCCCAACAAAGTTACAGGGTGTTAAACTAACATTCAGAAAAACGTTTTTTTTTTGTAAAAAGTTTGCTATTGCGATTTTTTCTTCGAAATTTTTGCCAGTGCTGTAGAATTGAAGATTTTAAAAAAAGTTGGGGGTTGGGCATCTTTTAACCCCCCCGTATTTTTTTTTACATAAAGAAACTTGCTTTATCGATCTTAAAATCAAAAAGAACTATGAATTTTTTAAATTTCTTTATAGCGAAATATCTTTCTTATTTAACGAGCTATTTACAATTTTTTAACTGACTTTCTAGAGAAATTTGTCCGTCCTGGACTTAACATATCAACAAAACTAAGAGTAGATCAGGAGTTATTGTACAAAACACGCATATAAAAATCAGTGGTGTGCATAGGGCTTTGCTTGAACCGCCCCTGCAAAAACTACCTTTATATTTTTGTATTCAAAAAGTAGGAGGACATGTTGAATATTTACTAAATTAAATGGTTTATAAAATATGTATAATAATTATTACCAAATGTTTATTTTTAATTGTTAATTTTTTTTAATTGTTTAATTAAAAAAATTATTTTTTGATTTATTTATTTCCCAACTAACGTTTATTTTTATCAGTGGCATGGTGAACCCATGAGGACGGGTGGCACACCATTTTTATGGCGTCAATCCAATATTATAAATACCTTTTTTACAAAAATACAAATAAGAGGTAGTTTTTGCAGGGGTGGCTCAAGCACAGCCCTAGGCACAACACTGATTTTTATATGCGTTTTTTGTACAATTACTCCTGACCTACTCTTAGTTTTGTTGATATGTTAAGTCCAGGACGGACGAATTGCTCTAGAAATTCAGTTAAAAATTTGTAAATAGCTCGTTAACTAAGAAAGGTACAAAGTTCATTTTGCGGTAAAAAAAATTTTTAAAAATTTATTGTTCTTTTTGATTTTAGGATCGATAAAGCAAGTTTCTTTATGTAAAAAAAATACGGGGTGGTTAAAAGGTACCCAACCCCCCAACTTTTTTTAAAGGGGTCGCTTTAAATTTTTTTTCTTTGGAATATTGGGCCTTCAAATCTACAGCACTGGCAAAAATTTCGAAGAAAAAATTGCAACAGCAAACTTTTTACAAAAAGAAAACGTTTTTCTGAATGTTAGTTTAACACCCTGTAACTTTGTTGGGAGTCAGTTTTTGATATAGATAAATATAGCCAAATCCACTTATTTTTTGGTAATCTATCTGAGGATGAATTTATGACATACCTTTTTGAAACACCCTGTATAATTTATTAAGATACATTATAAACGTATAAATTGACCGAAATGATATCTGTTTACACCTAGTTGACAAGTAAGAAACCTCAACCAAAATTTCTTGAGTTCCTTTATTTCTCTCTTTGATATGAATTATATTTTATCTTCAAAATAAGTCAACGAAATTGTTGGAAAAAATAGTTAAATATTTTGATTAAAAATCAGAAAAGTGCCATATGGTCTGATCTTAGGCTATAAAGAAAGCGTCAGCTCAGTCATCCCCACTTTGTCCACAACTGCTTTTCCACAATCCCAACTCTACCCACTTTTTGGTGGGTTTGGCCCTTTCTATAATAATATTCGACTCTACATTAGTGAAGATATGTCCAATGTTGCCATTTTAGACGAAATGCTTAACTCAAACGTTTTCATACAATATCGTCACTTGTAGCGAAGGTATTTCGTCTCTAGATAAAAACGTAAAACCACACCTCTTGTGTGTCTATAGATGTTGGACATGTTAAGGATAAAAAACACAGTATGATAGAACAGCAGCTTCAAGAAAAATTTTTTGTTAAAGTGTAGACTATGCTTATCTAGCCTATGCGTATCAGCGTCAGTTATTAAACTTAAAATAAATTAGAAATCTATATTTTTTAGCGAAAGCTGGTTTAGCCGATTTTATTCAACCAAGTTTGGGTCCTCTACAACCTAACTTAGAGGATTATATGGATTTGGATCCATTTCAAGGTAATCATTAATAAAAGTAATCTTTAAAAGCGTAATTGTATAGTATTTTCAGCATTAATTGGCAGCAAACTTGCAACAGTTCCTGAGGAAATCCCATCATCCCAACAACCTACAGGATGGGGTTATATGGACAATGGTTTGAACAGTCCAGAGGCTTCTATGGAGGTAAAAAACAAATGTTTTATAAAATTGATAAACGACGGTATATAATGGTGATATGTGGTTGGGAAGCATATTTTTACCTTTTGTCATACTTAATAAGCATACGAAATAAGTCAATAAATATTGGTCAAAATAATACCTTGAACTTAAAAACGACATAGTTACTGTTGCAATTAAGATATAATTAGTAATTTTTCACTTTTTGATTTTTAGTTAATAAAATAATTTATCTATAAAATAAAACATTTTTTACAAGCACTATCGAAAGTACGCCATTGCACCTAGAAAAGTAACTGCAAAGTTGATTTTTCAGCAAGCTGTCATAATTTGACATTATTGGCCTCTTAAGCGGAAAGAACTTTGGCGCACGAGTAATTTTATTTATACATAAAATAGAGCTAATTGTTTTTTTTTAACACAGAATATAGTCGAAATAAATGTTTTAAGTGACTTCCTAATATTTTAAATCATCCAACACTATTTTCCCTAAATAATTAAATTATTAAATCATAAATAATTACCAACATATAAGTACTAAAATTAAATAGTATGTAACCTGTATACTCATACATAGTAATAGTTAGGCAACACAACATACAAACAACTTAGGAATTAAATAGATCGATGTTAAAGAAAGCAGCAGTTAGTGTATTGTGACTGAAATTTTGTAGATAATTTTGTGTGCTCCACAATTAATTGAATTAGTCTTCTATTTTGGTGTGATCATAGAAAAAATCCTGTGTGTAATTTGAGCAGTCTCGACAGATGGCCGCGCTCCGCTATTCAACTGTCAAAGTGCTACTTTCTGCTTTTAATACACAAATAGCTATTCTTTTTAATGTGGTCATTCCACCACTATTACATATTTCTAATTTTTAAAATTCATGATCAGCACACTAAGGATGTACAAGACTAGCCACCAGGCACCAATTTTTGCCATAAAGTATTTTATAATCGGTTTTTAAAAACTGTGAAGTTATTCCCAGCTTGGTATATTAAGTTTATTTTTAATAATATATTTCTTTATTCATGTTTTTGATTAAAAATATAATATAAATATTAGACATCGTTGAGGTTTTACGCTACATTAAGTCTTAAAACACTCCTCACCAATAAATGCTGATATTAAATAGTGGAAGATTCTTTTGTTTTATGTGCAAGTGCAACAACAGTTAAAAATTGACCATTCACTATACTCTGTTTTTAAACTAGGAGGAGCGAATTGAAAAGACACATTTACACAGGGAAAAGTAACTAGATTTGTTACTAAGAGCGAGTTTCGAAATATAGTCGTGTTCAAAATTTATGAAATAGTTATCTTTATCGGCCTTAGTCGGTGAACGGCCAATGAGCGGTTAAGAAACGAATAAATGTCATAGACGTAATTTTTTTATTGGTCCGAGACGATGGTCGCAAATTTTACATTATTGTGATCTGAAATGTGTGTCTAAAACGAAATAACACTGTCAAATAAAATTCAATATGGTTGTTGATTGATGTCAGAAATACTTTTTCTTGCTTTTGAAATCGACTTTTTGAGAATAACTATGATCTTTTTAAAATGGATATTAAATATTTAAGAAAATTGTTGATAGAATATCCTGATGTAGCCAGGTTAGTATGAAATATAAAAATCTGGTCTGTTTACATTTTTAAGGATATATTTGTTATAGGTTTAAAAAGTAAAAGTTAATCAGTGAATGACAAGTGGATCACACAGTAACTGGTATCTTTCCTATGAGTAATGTGGATATTATGGCTTACTTAGTGTTAACCCATGGTTAATACGCTAAAGGGCAAATAAAGGCATTCAAAAGTTTACAGGCCTATGAGTCAGAATTTGTTTTAAAAACTGGAACCAACATTTTCATAACACTACATGTCAACATATATTTTTTAATTTAAAGTGAACTATTCATACATAACTATGTATTAATTTTAAGTATTTTAAAATTTTTTTTTTTGAGAGTAATGTGTCATTGTGCTAAATTAAGATTATCACTAAAGTAGTAGATGGTGTTTTAAATGTTATAACAATTTTGTAAATGGTTTTATTCTATTCTAATAAATAAAATTAACTTGAATATTTAGTTACATTTTAATCATTTTGGTTACAAATTCATCAATTTTTAGTTTTAAAAAATCACTAATAAAGTAATTAGTTTTTTCTAAAATACTTCGGAATTCATCTCTTCAGAGTAATTTCCTATCTTTTTACCTTCAAAATCCAATAATGCATTTTCTACAAAACCTTCTTCAGAATCGGCATGTAAAATAATAAGGTGTCTTCCCTTTCTTGTAGGGCTTTTCTGGAATTGCTATCCTTAATAGTACTCAGTGTAGAAGGATCCATAATTGTAGATTTTCAATACAATTGCTTACTGAAGAACTATTATTTACGAAATAAAGTAAAAAACGTAATGATGAGATATCAAATTATAAAATGTCAGAACTGTCAACATCAATTATTAGCTGATTTTCATGCTAAAAAGTAATGTGTGAAACTGACTGCAATCTGACCAATCAGAAGTCTACAGAATTGCCAACTTAAATTCAAATCGCTCCTCTTAGTTTAAAAACAGAGATTAGCTATTCACTATCAAAGTCAGACAAAATTTCTCGACCATTGTGATTGATCCAGACCAGCTGATTAGTCATGACTGGTCATGTTGATTAGTTTTCTTTTTCGCTAGACACTTTCGACTGGTCCGACCGCTCTCTTACAGTTCCAATTTAGTCATAAACAATACACTATCAATCTACTGCCACTGTCAATTTTGTTTGACACACAAATTACGTCATCATTAATATACCTTTTGCGTTATTGATGATCTCTATCAGTGCAAATTCTACTTCCGCTTAAAATCATCAAAATTTATTCTTGTTATGTTTGCTACCCTGAGTTCCAATAACATATCCGTGAATGTCAATTTGTTTTTGCATTTGTAGGGAGCCAGTAACACATTTAGGTGTTTTATTTGTGAAAGGTAAAATTACAAATATTTCGTTCATTATTACCTTGTAAAACATGGAAATAATTTGCTGTGTAGCGATGAAGCCCTCAATGAAGACTTTTTAAAAAAGATAGTGTAGACAATACTGTCATCGAAGCGCAAACTTGAAATATTATGCGCTAGTTCAGTGATGATGTAATTATGGTTCCACTGACAATTAAAGTGACAGTAGATTTTTGAGTGCGTTTTGTTTACCTAAATTATATCGTTTTTTCACTTTTATAAATATATTCCTAAAGTAAGTAGATAACATGCATCAAATATACAATCGTTTAGTTACAAATTACATACCTTTAAACTATTTTTTATGACTTATAAAGAATAATTAAAAATAAACTTAAAACAGTAAAAACGTATATGTCAAATTTATTGACGTTTTTGTTAAAAGTTTGGTTAGAATTAAATGTCAGTGGAACCAAAATGACATCACACTGAACTAGCGCATTTGCATCAAAAGTAAGTAGAAAACAGTTTGCTGCCACCTTGAAATTCGGTTCACATTCTTGCCTGCTTATAACAGGGCATTTCACCGCTAGATCGATTGCAGCAAAGTATTTCCATCTTCTACAGGATAAGATTTAATGACATTTATAATTTGTTAGCCTTGTGCAAATGTGTACCAAAAAACTTTTGCTGGCTCCCTACTAAATAGAATCGTTGACAGTTGTTTAAAGTAACGATGACATGGGCAGAGATAAGGGACATGAAGATAGAAAACGCTCATAAGAAGCACATGCTTAACAACGACCAGCTCGAACGCAGTTAACATCCGATTCAATATGTGGCGCTTTCATCGATATCAAACAAATAACGCAGCGGAAAATTTAAAAACCTGATAATAAAGGTTGTATAATTATCGATTGTATTCTCATGTTCTGGTGATTAAATTTAAACTATGTTAATTACGCTAAATTATTTATTAAAAAGCAATACTACACTTACAGTCTATTAAATCGATTAATTATTGTAAATCTATTTATGACACATTTATTTAAATGTTTGATTGTTATTTGTAACTTGTAACATTTTTGTTCTTATGTTCCATACAAGTGGTTATTGGTGTCTCATTTTTAAAAATGTCAACTGCAAAACTCCATAATGAGAATTTAGATATTTTTATTCCTTTATCAAATCTTCTCTCCAATGTTTTAAAGCTGTTTTCCTGCTCTAAAACAATAATAATAAATACTTTGTGGCAAAAGTTGGCTACTGTTTGTGTTACATGGCTAGATCTTACTTTGGTAAATTAAAGAACACCATATTGGGGTTGTTAAATTTATTCATGTGACATCTGTTACTAATTCAATACATGCTCGGTACTGTCCATCCGCGTAACATGTCTTCTATCAACCAACAGATAGTGTTTTCTATTCCATGTTTGCAAGCGACAGCTACCATTAATTTAAAGGAGGTGTTATCAAAAGTTCCTTCTATGTCAAGAAATGCTCCTAGGACTATTTCTTGGCTACTGAGTCCCCTCTATCTTCGTTACAAGATGATGCAGAACAGACTCGTACAATATTTCTGATTGATAGGCATGTTGGTTTGTATGAAATGATCTCCTCTCTATCAGAGTGGTTTGCCAATCCTTTCCATAGAAATGACGTCAGAGTTATTGGTCTGCAAGCCTTTGCCACGGCATATGCTGAATACCCCGGGTTGGGTATAAAAACCACTGCTTTGTTTCAATGTATTTGGTACATGTTTATGCGCCAAACTTGCCTTGTAGAGCCTACAAATATACGGGGTCAGTGTTTCTATTGCCTGTTGCAGAAGCACATGCATTACCCCATCTGATCCCAGTGATTTTTATAGGTTGAAAGTGAGTCTATTGTAACTACCCGGTTTGCAGTTTCCCACTCTTGGCTGGAGACTCTTTTTTAAGAGTTCCAGTTCGTGTAGGTTTGGTTTGCTGCATTCGGGTTTGTTGTTTCAATGTTTCTCTTTTGTGGTTCCTAGTTTTCTTCATATACTTTATAATCTTATAATAAAATACTTTAGACCCATGGTTCTTGTATTAAGGTTACGCCTATGTCTTCTCTGATAACGGTACATGCAAGGGTTGTGGAGGCGACCTTGCAGTGCTTCAGATTAGCTTGCACTTTTGTGAGCATCTGAAGGTTCTTCCTTCCGTTCCCTTTGCACTCTGAAGATTGCCTCAGGCCCAGATAGGGTTGTAACTGCAGATTTTCTAAAGCTTTCAGAGAGTCGTCAGTCAACAGTACAATAATTTGACTATTGTCTTTCACTTGCATGTGAATTACTTGCTACTGTTGTGTTTATAGTCCCAGATCAAAAAGAGAACTCCGTTATGTAAATATCTCTTCTTGAACTGTGGCTCTGATCCCTCTCCACTCTTCAAAATTTCTTCCATCAGTTCTTCCTGAATCTGATTCGTTTGCTCCTCCGACAGTTTTTCCTTGGGAAATTTTTTAGGTACTATCGCCATTTACATGGGCGTTAGTGCCTCTTTATAGGAAAAGCCACCTTTTACCGCTTATGCCGCAGATGTGGTTGCTCTTGCTCTGTCCTCGTCGGTTTTAGATTTCTTGGGGTGACCTCTTATCATGACCTCCATTGATGATGGACTGTCACTTTGGAAGCAGCCCCGTTTGACTTGGGGAGTTTGATTCGGAGTTCGGCTAGCTCCTTTCTTCTCCAGAGAGTCATAGTGTTGCTCTAGAGCAGCAGTACTAACTGCTCATAAAACCTGTTATACAATATTCGAAAATCACTTAATTTGTTATGTTGTATTTTGCAAATCTAGGGAACACTGAGCGAGTTCTGCATAACAACTCACTGTATTGGTGTTACTTAATTTGTGTGCTTAACAAACCATTGTTATTGATTTTATAATTAGTTTTTGTTAAATATTAAAGTAGGTAGTAAAAAAGTAGTTCAAAGGTATATGGCCAATGTCGTACATTTTGTAAAAATAAATTCTATTTTGAGTAAGTGTCCACAATTATCGGGAAATGTTTGTTCATAAAAAGTCCAGCGAACTTTATGTGTATACATTCACAAGGTTCACTCGGATAATCCCACCAGTGTTCCTGGATTCATCCTTTTATACCTACTGATAAGGTATACAACTTTAAACTAGGTGTTCAATATCCTGATCAATTTTTTACCACCAAATATATGACCTAGCTAATATATATATATTTTTTTGAATATACTAGGGTGAGCATTATGTAATGTATTTATAACCTTTTGTTGAAGGAAAACTGGTTTAACAATTTTGTTCCCCTTTATAATCACACCTTTATTTTCATGACCAGATTGAGTAATTATGTTTCCTTTTTATAAATTATTGCATGCTAGTTGCAGAGTTGGATCTTTACTAGTTTATCTATTATATCTCTGTGAGTGACGGGCAACACTAAAATTTCTTGTAATTGAAATATAGTAATACCATCTATCATTCTTTAGTTCGTAATAATACGGGATTGTTACTGCAGTAGCCTGCAGCTATTATAGGAAACGTACAGATAGAAGAAGAAGTGGAATGTTACTCATCGCCCTACAGTGTGCTGAGGTCGTCATAAGTAAAAGTACAAGTAAAAGAGAAGAGAATAGTCAAGAAATGTCATTACCCGTCAAGAATATTCTAGATGACAGTTCGCAAGCTATATAAGGATGCTCCTGACGTCAGTTTTCAGTTTTATGATAGACGTTATCCGTTAAAGTTATCAGTTGTATAATTATTGTTAAAGTTGAGTTAAAATAAATTGAGATACCAAAAACTTGTGTAACAGTATGTTATTTGTTTCAATAATTCGGGTTCACCCTTTATATTTTTTTCAAGATGTTATGTCACTTTGACTGAAATGATCTCATGGAAATTATTGTATTGATAATATTCTGAATTTGAAATAATTATTTAGCCGGAAGTACAGCAATATTCTTTAGTGACCAAATTATTTTTAATGTTTAAGAGTACAATCTATAAAAGTTCACTGTAATTGTTAGAGGAACACAAATTACGTTATCATTAATATATACCGTATTATACACAATGAAATGTGTCAAAATTCCATAAAAAAAAAGCTGAATTTCATATATTGATAGGTTTTACTTATATTTTTTTGTTTTAAAGGTACCATCATTGGATCCTCCTATACAAGTATCTCAATACCAAGTGCAGTCAGAAATAGTAGAAGCACAAAAGCCACAAATGGCTCCTCCAAGTTATAATAATATGTCGCAACAACAATATGTTGTTCCGGCACCAGTACCAACTTATCCCTCTGTGATATCAAAGAACAATGTAAAGACTTCAAAGAGTATGCCCTCAAGAAGTAATATGGTGTATAGTAAATCTATGGATAATATTTATCCAACTTATTCTCAACAAAATCGATCAGATCAAGTTGTAGATCGAATTATAAGTAAGTTACTCACATTTATATACACGTTCAAAAAGTACTATGTGATAAATTAAGGACAATGCTCTATTATTTAAAAAAAAAATTGTACCAACAATATAATCATTCATAAACGGTTTTAACAATAAAAATACATGGTGATACCATTTAGCATCCAATCTATTAAAATCGTCAGCATAATAAGCAAAGTACGTAACTTCATTTGGGAAAATTTTACAGGAGACCCAAAAACTAATTTAAATTAGAACCCTTGAACTCATGTAAACGAAATTTGTTTTTATGAGAATATAATTTGGATGAATAATAAAATAAGCATTTCTCAGATGGTAAATTTGCCATTTTGGTACTTAATGGAGTTATAATCCGCATTTCAGAAAAAAGTGGAGTTACGCATTTTGCTATTTACACTGACGATATTTTACAGTGAATTGAGCAAGGTATAATAGAAACATGCACATAATAAACAGAGACTGCTGTCAGCGAGTATTGACACGACTTTCTCCTCTGCTCGCCTCATTACATACATCACACATTGAAACATGACGAGCGACTGCGGTCCCTGTTTGTTATATGCATGTTGCTACTATACCATGTAAGATATATTCTTAAATTTGAATAAAAAGGTTGTGGTTATGTACACATAGCTAACATTAGTTATAAATCAATTTGTATTTTGTGCAAATTTTATTTAGAAAATATATTTTGTAATACTCTTCTAACTTTAAGCCATCATCAGTGTTTATCTACAATAAATTTTGTATGTAAATAAATTTAATGAACTGTTACAAATGGAAAATTTATAGATTAAAATGAAATGAACAAAAGAGAGACTAATGCTGGCAAAACTTGATAAACTTAGAATAATTTAAATTCGAAATTCCCAAAGCTAGCCTTGTATTGGAGAAATTAAATATTGCTAACATGATCAATAATTTCAGCACAAAAATGACAAATTGCAAAACTAACTACAGAAGTTTAATAGTATATTATATAACAAGAGCAGTAAGAAGCTAATTACAGGCGAGTAGAAAAGTTGCACACGAGCCGCGTTAGAGGCGAGTGCAGTAATTCTACGAGCGGCGATCTTTTATTGAGCATTAGCTGTCTTTTATTCTGTATTCTGTGGTAAACAATTTTTTTTAGATTTATCAAGAAAATTTATTATATAAAATTATATAAATTATTAGAAAAATTAAGTTTTCAAAAAATTATTCAGTAAAATTTTACGCAAAGAAATCTTTAAATCAACAATCCAAAAATGTAATAAATTACGTTTTAGAGTTTCGTAATCTTCATTTAAATATTTAATTCAATAAAAATTTCAATATTTTGCAAAAAAAAATATTTTACTATAAGGAGGGAATAATTATTGTGAAAGTAAAACATTCAATGAAAAAGCAGTTTAATTATAATCATTGTATACAAAGTAAAAAAATAATATTTCAAACATGTATTATTATTATTATTATTATTATTATTATTATTATTTTTATTAAATTCAAAAAAATATTATTTTCAATCAATAAAAATATTATTTTCAACTATTTTCATCGTTCTCGTCAATAACTCCATCTTCCTCATCACTGCTACTTCTGTCTGTGGATTGGTCGTCGTCAATATCTCCTTCGTCATTTTCTGTAATAATTAAACCAAGTTAACATAATTATGAATAGTTTCAAATGTATCTATAATAATTTAACATCATAATTACATACCTGACAAAGTTGTTAAAGAATCACTGACATAATTTGGTAGTTGATCTCCTTCAAACCATTTAAAATGGTATTGATCATTTTCCAGTACCCAACCATTATTTTCTGGTCCATAAGAAGTTGGATTTTTTAAGTGTGTTCTGTTCCAAATAGTACAAATATAATTTGCTCGCAAAAATTGCTGTAATAGTTCACTTTTACAAGGTGGTAAATTGCTAGCGTCGAAATTTCACAATTTTTTTTCGGTTAAGCTTCATTCACATCAGAGACTATACGAATCTATGAACATTTGAAGTCTAGCCGCATCAACATAAATTATATTACGAAGATTGTATATGTTGCATATAAATCTCTGAATAATATTAAAGAAGTTTTCTTGTTCATCTTTATTTTCAATGAATTCACTGTCACCGAACTTAATGAAAGCTTTCTGGAATTCATTAGATTTTTTCAATAGTTTGTAAGGTCTTAATTTTCCTTTCCTGAATAATGCAGGATTATAATCGCACCCTGTTATGGCGTGGAATCCAGGAAAGCTTTGACAAACAGATTCTCCAAATTCTGCGTGTATCTTTGTAAAAAACAAAACCTAAACATTTCAAAAACCTTATTTTTAGTTTTTTCTACTCCATCTAATCAATAAATAATAGTAAAATTAATTATAATTCGAAAATTGTTGTTGAAGTCTTACTTTCTCATAAGAAACTGTACAAACACACACTTTTTAAAAAAAAAATTCTCAAAAATTTGCACGGTAAGGTATAGTTAAAAGTTCACTATTAGATAAATAAGGACATCTACTATTAGAAAAAAAAATAATTTTAGTCATAATCTAATATTTTTTATTTAATATTGGTGGCGAAAGGACCTCCTTAAGGGGGAACAACTTGTTTGGTTTTCTCATCCATGTAACTTCAACCCTTTAACAGGTTGAAGCACAACCCTCTGATTTTGAATAGGGGTGAGGGTTGTTGAAATACCTCATTTTGAAGATCTCATCGAGTACTATCTGACCCTAAACTTTGCGTTAAAATTTTTATTGATAACACCTAAAACAGTGAAAGAGATAATACGGAAAAAATGTCTACTTAATAACAAACAAAAAGAATACTTACACCTGTGATTAGTAAATGCAGGAAATGGCCACCATTCACTTCCATGCAGTAAAATAAGTTTTGTTCAAAACGTTCAGTTATTCGAACTGGGTAGCGTAAATCTTAGATTTTAGATGACGCCATAGAAAAAAGTCCAGTGGATTCAAATCAGGTGACCTGGGTGGCCACTCAATATGTATCCCCTTCTTCCAATCCAGCTCTTTGAGGAAAATTCTCATCCAAAAATTGACGGACAGGTTGTACGAAATGAGGTGGTGCGCCATCTTGTTAAAAAATGATGGTATGATGGTCTTCTTCATTCTCCAATACTTGCACGAGGGCTGGATAAATAGCGTTCTCTAATAATTCCAGATGTGCTTCGCCATTGAGATTACCGGGTATAAAAAAGGGACCATAAATACCCGCCCAAATATTTAGTTTATGGAGATTCTGAGTATGTACTTCATGAAATACTCTTGGATTTTCATCTGACCAATATCGACAGTTCACAGAACTAGAGTTGGCGATCGAAATCATCCTCATTCAGTTCCTGAACCAATCGTACCTTAAAAGGATGAAACTTATGTCGTTTAAGGATTCTCCTGATTGTCGTGCGTGATACACCAGATACGTCGGACAATTTCCTAGTACTAAGGGTTGGATTCATGACCTTAAACAGCCACTTCTCTTGCTTCGTCTCTTTCATGCACTCTTTTATTTTCGACTGAACCAGTGGCATCAAATTTGGAAACCAGTTGCAAAACGTAAGCAGCGGATACATTTTTTTCAGAATGATTTTCGTTTAATAAAGTCGCTGTTACTCGCGCAGAGTCATTATTTCTAATAAACAATTTAAAAATTTCCACCCTTTCCCCCACGGAGTATACCATTTTAATTCTACTAAAAAAATATCAATCGGGTAGACACGGTGGCAACGTTCTTAAAAATTTACGATGTACTGAGGTAAATCGAGTCCATAAAACAAAAAATATTTTTTCTTTATAAAAAATATACACATACATAAATACTTCTCAATGATAATAATTATCCTTAAGGTAAAGAATAGTATATTGTTTCACGAGTGACGAAAATAACATTTTTTGAAGCGAGAGAACAATTTACCAACCGAGGCGAAGCTGGGGTTGGTAATGTTCGCGAGCTTCAAAAAATGATTTTCGACGAGTAAAACACTATACTTTTTCTACGAACTCTATTATGTCATGTAGGTACCTACTAAAATGAAAAAAAAAACAAACGTTAGCAAATGCTTTATTTTGTGTTAGGAATAACAAAAAAATTAACCAACAATTAAATATTTCAGAAATATTATTTATTATTTAAATATTGATTTATTGTTATATTTGAACAATTGTTCAAAATTATGGGGGTATCACACTCAAGCTTTTTATTTATTGAGGTAGATGCCGACATATTTGTTTTACTCTTAAATGTCATTTCAGATGATGATGCGCCATAATCGGATGAACTAGTAGTTTCCTTATTTTGTACAGATTGTAAAATTTTGGTTTGTATTTGGTTTTTTCTGTTCGTGGATTCATCAACATATCCTTCCGCAACACTACTATATTTCCAACCACCGTGCTTTTTTAACAGAAGCAAGTCACCTCCTGCATCCACTAATAGCGTTGCGGATGTTCTGCGGAAACAGTGCCCAGTGTAATCTTGAGGATTCGGAAGCGTTAAAAACTGAGCAATTTCGTTAGGAAATTTACTGATTTTATTAATTCCAACAACCTGTCTGCTACACTTTCCATTCTGATAGTTAATAAAGAATCTTGAATTAATTTGATCCATGTTTGCGGGACGTAGGCTCATATATTTTTTAGAAATATCATAAAAGGGTCCAGAAATATGAAAAGAACGCGGAACTTTTGTTTTTGTATTACGGATTTTAACTAACAGAATACTTCCAGTATCCTTTACATCGCTTATTGTTAAATCTTTTAGTTCGTGGCAAAGACAAGCGCCAGATAATCCAAATACTAATGCTACCTACAAATATTAGTAGTTATGTATTAAGTATTTGTTAAAATAAAAATAATAATTCCGTTACCTTTGTTATTAAATATTTATAGTCAGGTGCATTCTTTAGGAAAGTCTTTATGTCTTCAGGCGAAAAATTTTTGGATTTTTGGCTTTTAAAACCATCAGATTTTCTTTTCAAAAGCGAACGTAA